GGACCTCTCTGACCCCTGATTCTCAAGCTGGGGGGTCAGACAGCCACTGGGGACCTCTCTGACCCCTGATTCTCAAGCTGAGGAGTCAGACAGCCACTGGGGACCTCTCTGACCCCTGATTCTCAAGCTGAGGCGGTCAGACAGCCACTGGGGACCTCTCTGACCTCTGATTCTCCAGCTGAGGCGGTCAGACAGCCACTGGGGACCTCTCTGACCCCTGATTCTCAAGCTGAGGGGCTAGACAGCCACTGGGGACCTCTCTGACCCTTGATTCTCAAGCTGAGGAGTCAGACAGCCACTGGGGACCTCTCTGACCCCTGATTCTCAAGCTGAGGAGTCAGACAGCCACTGGGGACCTCTCTGACCCCTGATTCTCAAGCTGTCAGACGCTTACAAAGCAACTAAAGCTAAATAAGAAGGAAAATACAAACATTCCATAAATAAGACTCCAAAGATCTTTTTAGGCTGAATTGTGATATTTTATCTATTGGATCACATGACAGGAAATCGGACGCATATTGTATGAAAGCCAGAGCCCCCTCTCACTGAACGGTAATGTTATGTATATGTGTGCCATCAATGGTAGTATTGTAACGTCTCACAATGTAGAGATATCATCGTGTTTTACTGCTTAGAGCAGTGGTTCTCAACCTTTCTAGGGCCGGGACCCCCTGGTAACATTTGCCAAGTTGTGGTGACCCCCAACCGTAAAATTTAGGGATTCGCCAATACTAGTATCTGTGTGGGCTCTCAGGTGGTTAGTGGGACTCTCTGGTGGCATCCAGTGCTGTCCCTGTGGTGCCCAGTGCTGTCCCTGTGGTGCCCAGTGCTGTCCCTGTGGTGCCCAGTGCGGGCTCTGTGGTGCCCAGTGTGGGCTCTGTGGTGATCGAGCACTCACCTCCCCTCACTCCTGCCTGCACCCCTCTCTCTGCTCCTCTCCGGCCGCTGCTGCAGCGCTATTTAGGAGAACTGACACTGCTGCACTAGGAGGAGGCTGAGGAGCCTCTTACCTAGAGCAGCACAAGGCATGTGGGGACCCCCTCATCTGTGGATCACGACCCACAGGTTGAGAACCACTGGCTTAGAGGGATGTGCAGAACATCAGTTTGTGCAGTCGCACTTCTCAGGTCATCAGTTGGTGCAGTCTCACTTCTCAGGTCATCAGTTGGTGCAGTCTCACTTCTCAGGTCATCAGTTGGTGCGGTTCCAGTTCTTAGGTCATCTGTTCCCACATTCTCCTGTTATTAGCTGGTGCAGTTGAAGTTCCAATATCATTGGTTGGAATGGTCTCTGTTCTCTTGTCATCAGTTGGTGCAGTCTTAGCTCTCAGGTCATTGGATGATGCTGCCTCAGTTCTCATATCACTGGCTGGTGTGGTTTAATTTCTCATGCTATTGGTTGGTGTGGTCTCAGTCCTCATGTCACTGGTTGGTGTGGTCTCAGTCCTCTTGTCACTGGTTGGTGTGGTCTCAGTCCTCATGTCACTGGTTGGTGTGGTCTCAGTCCTCTTGTCATTGGTTGGTGCAGTATTAGTCCTCATGTGATTGGTTGGTGCAGTCTCAGTCCTCATGTCACTGGTTGGTGTGGTCTCAGTCCTCATGTCACTGGTTGGTGTGGTCTCAGTCCTCATGTCACTGGTTGGTGTGGTCTCAGTCCTCATGTCACTGGTTGGTGTGGTCTCAGTCCTCATGTCATCAGTTAAACAGAGATAGAAGTTCAGTTCTTTATTGACGTCAGTGACTGGCATTGCAGTAGCCAATTATGTGCCAACATTCACCATATGTGGGTTGATCTGCATAGTGCTTCTATTACACACGCACACACACACACACGCGCACGCACACGCACACGCACACACACACACACACACGCGCACGCACACGCACACGCACACACAGTGGTGTATCACAAATATTTTAAGTTTTGATATTCTACAGAATCCACAGATTTCTACAATCTAAGTTTATGTTCAGTGGCACTTCCAGGATTTGTTGTGGCGATCGGTGTGATGTGTTGTAACTCGTCACTGGATGAAGTGCAATGGAACAACACAAAATATAAAGGAGTTTCCCAAAAACGGGAGCAGACAGAACCTGGAGCAGCTGTGCAACCAATCGGCTTCTATCCTGAACTTGTCCAATTAAGCTTTGAAAATAAGAGCTAGAAGCTGATTGGTTGCCACGCCCAACTGCTCCAGATTTGAGTGATTTCCCTTTAATGAA